ACCAGATTTTACTTCACAGAGCCCAGGACTCGAGGAGGTCACATACATGCTTGGCTGGGAACAGGAAATTGTAACAGGGGGCCAACACCAGTGTGTGCCCACCACCACCACCCCACACACATTGACATTGGGCTAAACAGAAAAGGTCTGGCTTAATAATCAGCCAGTCTGAGAAGGAAGGGGCAGGCATTTGGATAGTTTGCACAGAATCAGCAAAGGTGGAATGCTTAAGTGTTTGGTTTTGGCTAAGTTAAGCAGGGTGTTTGCCCTGAGGACGAGGCTGAGAGCAGTGCCCTCTTAAATGTCCAGGAAAGTCTTTGCTGAAGGAAGAGGAAAGAGTTGGGAGGGTGCTATGACAGAGGGTTGGTTCAAGGTGCTGTGAAGGAGGTGTCTGTGTGCTGAGAGGTGAAATCCCACAGTGTGAAAGTGATAAAGGGGAGAGTTAAGCACTGAGTCAGCACTTAAAATTCCCCATGGCAGCTTAGGACAGTCCCTGAGGCCAGAGACCATCTCTGCAGAGCTGCCTCCATGCAGCCCCACGGTCCTCAGAGCTGACCGTGGTTAGTGCACACAGGCAGAGACTCTGTCCTGCTCAGGTGGGTGAGGCTGTGACCCCACCAGGCTCTCCTTGTATGTAATCTAAAACACAAACCCTGCTGCAGGGCCAGACTCCCAAACAGAGGCATCCCGCCTGATTCCCACTCCTCCTTCCCCCAGTAACACACGGGAGAAGCCCTGTGGGAATACCCTTACACATACCCTCAGATGGAGCAATACTGCTGAGAAAGGAGCTGCCAGTTTCAGGGAGGGGCAGCAAGAACACAAACCCTGGGACCAGGAGAATCTCTTCAGAAAGCCTGTCTTGGGAGGGTAAACATGTCCCAATAGCACAAAGGCCTTATGAAATGTGGGATGGGCAGCTGCAGCAGCTGCAGACACACACAGCACCCCCTTGGGCCAACAGGAGGGTTCAGGCTGTGCCTTGCTGTCACTGTCTGCAGCAGCAAGCCTTGGGGGAAGAGCTGTGGGCAAAAAGGCCTAAGAAAAAACAGCACAGAGGGAGATGGAATTGTTTTGTACCACAGATGAGCAGCTTGACCTCCTGTCACTGCAAGCCAGCTCTTCTGCAGCTCCTGCGTTCTTTTCCATCTCTTCCAGCCAGGAATCCTTAGGCAATTGGTAGACCTCCAGCCAAGCTTTTGTGCTGTCTGCGTTGGGAAACCATGTTAAGCAATTGGAAATGAGGAGGAAAGGTCTTTCAGGCAAGCAGCTTCTGTTATCTTTTATCCTTTATAAAAAGATTTGTGTATTTTTTGAAATATAAAATCTCTGCGAACTCCATGCAGCCCATCTCTCCTCCCACTTAAGGCTTGACATGCTTGATTGAGACTGACACCTCAGCCTCCAGCTCAGTCCTCAAGGTCCCACATCCATCAAAGAAATTCCATGAAGCTACTCAGTCAATAACCTGACGTGGAGCCACTGAGTAGCAGAGGAGAAAGTAGAAATTGAGGCATGGTCTCACATTAGTTCTCTGCTACATGACTCATTCTCAGCATGTGTCCAGGCAGATTCCACCAAACACAGGTCCAGAAGACCTGCCTGCCATGGATTCAGCTGCCATGAAACAGAAGAACCTTGTAACAAGGAGTTTCTTGCAGTGTTTTCAGAGGCTCTCTATGCTCTCCAGGCTATACCTGCAGAGAAAATTCTTCAGGTCTACATCTTTCCAGTGTAAAAGTGAGCCATAGCAAACCAGAGGAAGAACTGAGTTTGGTACTTCTGGAGAGAGGGAAACCTGCTTCCACTGAGCCTCCTGGGAGCTGGGGACTGCACTGACAGCTCCAGACAGCTCGCTTTTGGGATCAGCCCAAGTGTTTTGGAAGGGACAGGGAGCGGCAGGGGCTGATCTTTAAGCTGGAGGAGAACTGGGAGGATTAAAACAGGATCCCTGGGTACCCAGACCACTTGCAGCATTCTCAAAACACTGCTGCTGCCTCTCTGTTAGGACACAAGAGCCTCCAAACACAGCGTGTTCCTGCACTTGCCTTGCAGCAGGATTCCTGCATAATCACCTCCTCGGGACAGCACCACCTCCACACAAGGGCTTCGCTGGCTGATGTCCTCCTGCCAAGGAAAAACAGGCTGATCAAAGCTAGATCACTGATTCAGAGAGCTCCATGCCCTCACACAGCTCTCAACAGGCTGAAGACTGCTGGAAGAACAAAAGTAAATACTGGGCAGCAGTCTTGGAGAGCTACTGCCTATGAATAAATTTCTGAGGGCAACTGGTACTTCTCATGATTGATTACTTCCCAATTAGCTCAGCACTTACCACTTCATTCAGGATTTTAATGAGCAGGAAGCTTTCCTTGTGAAAGCAGAAGAGCCAGGCAAGCCCTGAAATAGAAATACAGAAGCAGCAGAAGGAGGGAGAGAAAAGTGAATGAATGTTAGCCATGCTCCTGGGAGATGGCTGTTACAACATGTGCAGGAGAGTGAGCAGGATTACATTACCTCCTGGGCCCAAGGAACAGTATGCCACTATTTCCAGCACTAAACTTTTGCTGGCTTCCTTATGTGAGCACCAGTAAACCTTTGGTTGTGCACAGAGATGGATAAGCCAGTCTGAAAAGTGTCTCCACCAAACTGACAACTCTCAGATGCACCAACAAACTAGTACAGGTGCAGGAGCAGCTCACAGGCAGGAGGCCATTCCAAGCAAGAGCTCTTTCTGCCCAGCCCAAGATGCTCCTAAACTTCACTGTGCTTCACCCTCAGCTCTGCACCTGCCTCTGCTGTGCCAGAAAAGCCACCAAAGCCACAGCCCCTGCCAATCACAAGGCCCTAAGGCCACTCTGCCACCCTGCAATCTGCTAGCCGTCCAACGCCCTCTCTGCAGGGCTTTCTAGGAAACTTCTCAGCCACCCTAACGCTGCCCCGACCCAGCAGTGCTCTGTAGCACCGCCAGCTCAGCTCCAGAGCACAGCTAATCCCCAGCTAGGGCAAGGAAATCCACGGCACACTGACCCATTTCATCCACAGCAAGCAGGACGTGGCACTTGCTGCCCAGATCCGAGGCATGGATGGCACAGATCTCTGTCTTGGCTGCATCCCAAGCACAGACATCCTTGAAGTCACACCTGTTGAAGGCAGCCAGACCCACAGACAGACCCACAAAGACGTATTCTCCAGACACTGCAAGGCAATTGGCCCTTTCAGTTACCTACCAAGAAAGGGAAAAGATGAGTGTACCCAACTGCATTCTCATCAGCCATACTACTGATATATTCCTGGCCTTTTCACCAGAAAATGCTGATTTATTCTATAAGGGAAACCTTTTGACTCATTCTTTCCCCACAAGAGCAGGGCAGGGTCTCTCATCTCTGTCACAGAGATTGGTCTGTGTTAGGAATGAGAAAGTTTTCTCCCATCTTTCCCCTTCCCACAAACAGAAGGGGCTTTAAAGGCCAAGAGCTCAGGAGCATCCCGCCCTTCCCTTCCAGTGCAGAGCTGTGACGGGATGCTGAACTCCTCCAGGCAGTCACAGAACACCAGCAGACACCAGAGTATCCTCCTGGACACCCCCACATAACCACGGGGAAGGCAGCACTGTCATCCTGCTCCCACTGGAGGATTCAGCAGAGCACAGAGCTGGGCTTGCCCACTCGTGTGCCACTGACTAATCACCTTCTCCCCAGCAAACAAGGGTGGAGCCAGCCTGGGAAGGTGAATTTAGTGTTTAATACTTAGAGAGGTGTGATAACTGGGTGGGAAGCAGAACCTGTCAGACAAGCTGAGAAGCTGCAGGCTTTAAAACTGAACCAGTGAGATGGTGGTGGCATTCTGAGGAAGGTCACGAACAGGAGAATGACAAGAACTGCTCTGGTGGTTAATGCTGTCTCTGCTGGGAGAGGCTCTGTACCTGGAATTCAGCTGTAGGAAAGCATTTTATGGGCTGGACCTTTCGTTTTTGTGCTTCTCGGAGCATCTCCCTTTTTTCAATGATTTCCACAGCACTCTCAAAAACCTGCATCACCAGTTTGTTGATCATCCTGAGGGGCTGCGGCAGCACATCACGCTTTCGATCGGGATCCAGCAGGAAGAAATTTTCCTCCTCTTCCTTTGGCCATTCCTTTCCAGATGGTGGGGGAATCTCCAGGAGATGCTTCTGGGTATTCACTGCCATGGTTCTCCCTCTGCAGATGCAAAACGCACCACGGATGCAGGAATCACCCTGGATGCAGAAGAATAAAGAGTCCTTCAATACTTTCTCTCATGAGGTAATGGGGGAAGACTTGATTAATGATGTCTAAGGGGGTTTCCTTTCAGTATTGATAGCCAGAGCAACTCTGCTCTGCACAGCTCAATTCTCCTTGTATCCCCTGTCTCCCGGGGGTTTTGTCCTGCTCTGGGGATCCCAGCCACACAGGGATTTGCAGGCTGCCCACAGGTAAAGAGAGCCCAAAAACTTTGTCACAAGCGTGTACAAGAATTATGGCAAAGCATTCAAAAGTATGCAAAAATATGATCTTGTTCTTCGTTAATTACCCAGGACTTATTCTTCCTGAGTAAAATCCCAACGATTAACTTTGAGAGCAGGTGCTCTCACTGGAAGTTTTGTACTCCATTTCCAAGACACCGGGTGGTTTCGAGCTTCCCCTCCGCGGCGGGGCCGGGCGCACCCCACCGCCGCCAGCCCTCACAGCGGCCTGACCTCGGAGCGGGGCCGGGGGCCGAGGGGCCGTGCCGGGGGCCGAGGGGCCGTGCCGGGGGCCGAGGGGCCGTGCCGGGGCCGAGGGGCCGGGCCGGGCCGGGCTCCTCTGGCTTTCCCGGGAGGATCCGCCGCAGCTCAGCCGGCGGCTCCGAGCAGGGGAAGCCTTTAGGGGTGACACCGCCGCTGCTCCGTTGTTGACGGTTGCCGTGGTAACGGCCCCTCGGTGCCGCAGCCCGGCCGGGAACGCGGTGCGCAGCGGAGCGTTCCGCGGCGGGGCGGGGCCCGGGCGCGGCGGGGCGGAGCGGCCGCGGCCCCCGCGCTGCTCCCGCCGTGCCGCCGAGCCATGGAGGGCTTCGTGGGCTTCACCAACCGCTGCCAGGGCCGCGACCAGCTCTTCCGGTGAGTGTGGGGGCAGGCGTCCTCCCCGCGACCCCCGGCACCCACCCAGGGCCCGTCAGCGGCGCCGCTCCCGCCGGGCCGCGGCCCCTCAGCCCGCCGGGCCCCGCCGCGGGCCGGGGACACCGCCCGCTCCGCCGGAGGGTGCTGCGGATCCCCTCCGGTGCTAGCGACAGGACGAGGAGTAGTGGCCGTAAACTAAACCACAAGTTTCACCTCAGCTGAGGAGGAACTTGTGCGCATTTTGGGTGGCGGAGCGCTGGAGCAGCTGCCCAGGGAGTGTCCCTGAGGGCCCGGAGTCTCCCTCTCTGGGACACTCCGAACCCGCCCGGACACGTTCCCCTGTCACCCGCTCCAGGTGATCCCGCCTGGGCAGTGGGGTTGTGCTGCATGGTCTCCTTCCAGCCCTGGCAGTTCTGAGTCTGTGGAATGAACCTGTCCTGCTGCTGCCATCCTGTGATTGTCTGTGTCTCACCTGTGTTCCCCTCTCCTCGTTTTTTCCCTTCCAGAGCCACTCAGTACACATGCATGTTGCTTAGCTATTTAATAGAGAATAAAGCCGATAAAAAGAAGCTGGTAATGAAACTCAAGCAGTTGGAATCTAGCATGAGCTCTGGCCGGAAAAGTAAGTACCCGGTGTCTAGAGGGATAAGACCTTCTTCACTTGCTCCTTGCACTCCCAGCTCCTGCCCTTGTGTTTCCTCTAGTTAACCTAGACCTAACAAAACCTCTTTTAATACATTTACAAAACTGTCAATAGACTTATCCCTGCCATGGCTTGCCAGGCTAGGTAGGGCTAAATAGATTTTTTTTTTATTTTACTTCTTCAGCCTCCTCTTCAGTTAGACAATCAGAATTACTGCTGGAAGGATGAGAGGAATAAGTTCACAGTCAGCTGTTGCTGTAGAGGCCAACCTGACACCTCTGTTCAAGGACAGGCCAGGGTTATGAGGCAGGGCTGACTCACTGTGTGCTCATTAGTCCTTCCAGCTGATGGGTTGAGACAGCCCAGTGCTGAAAGATCATCATCCAACAAAATCACCTCTGAAAGACCATCCTTCAATATGGCTTTTATATCCTACTTAACATATTAATCTCTTTAGCATTTATACGCTACTAAATCACATACCCTTCCATGCTTACAGCCTGACCATTTGCATCACTCTGGTCTGTGTCACGGTTGCATCCACGATGATTACACTGTTACTATGTGTGTATCACTGGTTTGCAGCTTGGTCTTCCACCCACTTGTCAATTGCTCAATCCTGGAACAACTGCAACCCATGAGACAAATATTCTAGTCTATCGGATTGCCATGGATTTGTTTATTATTCCATTAGCTTTAGAGTTATGGTATTTTCTAGTGGAGAGGCCAGCTGGTTTATCAGCATAGGCATAATTCTTGTGCTTCTGCTAAATGAATCACTAATAGACACCAGGCCTAAATTCAGGGCTCTTGTAGTTCCACCAGGCTTGGGTGCTGTCAACATCTGTCACTGTAACAAGGCAGCAGGGTGTAAAAAGTGTTTTCAATAATATTGTAGTAACGTTCAGGGGGCAAAACCCAAACGGTGCAGCGGGTGAAATCAGGTTTGCCGTATGTTGCAGCTTGACATGGAATACAGTGTTCCACATGGTTTGCAGGGAGCTGCTACATGTGCCTGTGGCAGATTCCTGGCTGAGGAGGGACTTTGGTCTCTGTGCTCAGCACGTGAATCAGCGGCTTTCACAGGCACAGAGGCAACCTGTGTCTCATGGCTGCAATAGGATTAATGCAGAAACATCTTCTGTCCACAAAGTGAGGTAAAATGTACAGCTGAAATTAGAGGCTCTGTTTGTGTTCTTTGTTTGCTGGCACTGACTCCTGCAGAGCCGAGGGTGATATTGGTCCAGAGGGCCCCCAGGTGCAAGAACGGAGTGGCAGGAGAGGCTGCAAGTCCTGGCTATTGACCAAACCTGTGTGCATGTCCTGGGCTGGTGATGTTTACACAGAACTGAGACGTTTACACCCCTTTTCTCACTAATCCTAGGAAGTGCTCAAGCATACAAATGCCCGGAGCCCTCCAGGTTTTGTGAAAGTACACGCAGACTGCGGCAGGCCGAGCTCTGCGTGAGGCCGGGCCGTGCTAACCTGTCTGGGGTTTCTTGCAGTGTTCAGACTGGGCAATATGGTGCACGCCTTGGTGGCAGCCAGGAGAGCTGCAGAGCTGCCAGAGGTGGTTCCTCGCCTGTGCCTCACAGCCTCCCACCTGAGCCGGGCCCTGTACTTCGTGTGCGACGCCGTGCTCTGGCTCAGGAGCGTCGGGCTCCAGCCGCACGTCGACAAACCCAAGTGGCACACCTGGGCTACCAAGTGCTACTACTGCTCCCTCCTGATGAATCTGGCCAGGGACTGCTATGAGATCTCCTGGAGGCTGGAACAAGCTGCACTGGAAGAAAAGACAAAGGAGAATTCCGTCTGGCAGAAGCACAGCGAGGAACTAAACGGTGTGAAAAGCGATGGTTTGCACAATTTTCTCTGCCTGCTCTTTCAGATACTGAAAAGGAATCCTCCTTTGCTGCTGGACTTGGTGAAGAACCTCTGTGATCTCTCAGGCCCTTTGGATACGCTGGGAATCTACAAGACCAACCCAGGAGTGATTGGTTTCTGCGGCATCCTGTCCTCCCTGGTGGGGATCCTCACATTAGCAAGCCCACACCTGAAGCTGAAACAGTGACATGAAAGGAGCTGCATAGTATAAGGCTGCAGCTTTGATCCTCTGACAGATTTTTATCTTCATATAGCACTTTCGAATGAACATGTCTTAAAATAATCTCAAGATTAATTTTGTCCTCTGAAGAAGTGAATTCTGCCACTTTCCCTTCCCTGTGCCTTTGCAGATGAGTTTAGTGCCATGACACACTCACTGATGGGGTGGAGAGAGGAAAAGGCTGAGTAATATTTCACAAACAAAAAGAGGACTTGGAACTTGGCTGCTAGATAAGAAAATATTCCTTTATTTTAATACAGGGTTGTGAAATAACTGCATAAGCAACTGTAATAGGTATTATGATTCATGACTGCACTAATCATGTTTACACTGGAACGTTTCAATTCACTAATCCAAGGTCCCTGCAGTCAGATTGCCTCAAATGGGCTAAGGTGGGTTAGGAGCTGTATTAGAGCAGCCTGAAGTCAGGGGTGAGTGTTCTGATGGGTTTGGGTTGCTGGATCCTGTGCCCTGCAGGCACTGAGCACACTGTGGTGGTACCTGGAAAGGGTCTGTGGTGTGTGCACCGGTGGTGCTGGAGCTGCAGTCTAGTGAGTGCCAACTCCTGTCCCAAAAAATCTGCACTTTCTTTGTTTCCTTTGATACTGTGAGCCAGGGACTGTTGGCCAGTGACTCTGACTGCTCCAGCAGGCCACAGCTGAGGGCTTTGGTGCAGGACAGTGTATTAACTCCCAAACCCCTGTAACTGCAAGCACAACTATTTTCCATTAATGATATCGTGATAAGGAGCTTGTTTTTCTCTTTTAATTTTACATGAAAAATTCCAGTCTAATAAGGAGTTTGGAACATGCAGTTAAGGAGAGAAGGCTGGCTCAGAGCTTGTTGAGTCACAAAAACTGCAAGGACATGTTTGTAGTTGTGTAAGCTCCAGGAGGAAAGAGAATGGAGTTTGTTGTGATAACATCAGAATCCCGTGAGGAAGAAAGCTTTTTACTGGATTTGGGCATTCATGGTTTAGACTTTCTTATCTGGTGCTCCCTGTCCTCCCTGCTCATGAGCACATGACTGCTTGTTCCCTCGGTGGCTGAATGGGTTCAACCATTTGAAAATGCCTCATTTTGTTGCCCTGCAACTGTGTTATTGTTCATCACTGACCTCACTGGCAGTGATGGCTGGCAGTGTAACTGGGTTAAAAGAGAAATGCTGTGTCCAGCTCTCTAGCATGGCATGCAGTTTTTGCTGCTCCTGACTTTGCAGAGTACCAGTTTGACACCATCTGAGACAAAATTGCACATTATACAGGAGATAATTTTAACGTTTTTCTTCATCAGAGTTAGGCCTGTGTGTTCTGCTGCTTCATGGTGTAAGAAGTCCTTGTTTAATCTGTCAAGGAGATGTGAACAGACTAACCTGGACCAAAGTTCTCATTTATTATTTCTGATGCTATCTAAAACCAGAAAATTAAAAGGTGTGGGTCTCCTTTATTAAAAGGCAAAGGATGTGGAATTAAGTAAGCAGGTGAGGCAGTGCTCCAGTTTACCTGAAGTTGTTCTTGGGCTTGGAATTACTTCCAGTTTGAATATGAAGTGATAGCCTGCCAATGAAGTGTTTGAAAAGAAAGAGGTTGCTGGGCAGGATAATTAAGTGTGTTTGAAGATCAGATGTGGCCTTCAGCAGCTCTTCTTTTCAATATGGAAATGAGTAGCACTAAAAGTAGGAGCATACTGGCAGCTCAGGCCAAAATGGAGCACTGTGTGTGGGATATATATTGTAGGCTATATTCTAGGCTTCCTCTCCTTTATAACAATGGATTTGTTTCATCTCCTGGCAATGTGGAAGCCATCCCTACCTTAGTCAGAGTTGATCATTATCCCAGTGTGTAGCAACCCCTGGAAAAAAGGAAGAGGAGTCTCTATCATCTGACAGTGGAGGTTTGATCAGCTTTTGCCTACAGAGTTCCATCTTATTGCTAAAAATGTGTTTTCAGTCCCACTCAGGGGAGCTCTCAGATGCAAAATACTTCACAAAATACTTTCACTGGTTTGCCAGCTGCTTTCTCTTTCACTCTTACGCTTTTCAGGGAAAGCCATTGATACAGCCCAATCTCCACCTCCCTGTGCCCTGCAGGCAAACACTGTGCAAAGCCCTGAGCCAGGCTTTGATGTTTCTGGTAGGGCCTGATGTGGATTAGCTTGTACAATTTTACTGAGGGAAATGGGAGTGAGTTTTCAGCCTGCCTCAGCCCTACCTGTCCCATTCTCCATTACACAGGCTGGAGCACACAGGAGTACCTCTGTTTACTGGATGTTAAGCACTAATATTTGCCTTCTGCTCCCCGGCTGGAGGCTGGTGATTTAAGGTACCTTAACAAAATGTGACTGAAGCCATAGGATTGTGATCATGTGGAGAAAATCCGTTTAGTGCCTTTTTTTGTATCTGTTTCTAGTACAGCACTTGGAGTAAGAACAAGTTGTTTGAACATAAGCAATAAACTGTGATGAGTGTGACACTGTGTCTGTGTATAACTTGGAAGGTGGTGTAAAGAGACGCTGAAGGAGGGAGAATTCCTCCCATCTCTGAATTTCATGACAGGTGACACTCTTAAAGAGACTGCCTGTGAGCGGGTTCTAGAGCTTTTGTTTTGCAGTACCCACTTGGCAGCCAGATTCATCCAGCTAATTTAGAGTCACAATTTCAGCTGCAAAACCATTAAGAAATACGTGAGTATCAGATGAAACTGCATCCTTAGAATGCCCTGAAACAAGGAGGTGTTTTGGGAATTGCCATCAGCTGCCTTTGAGTACCAGCAGTGAGGGCTGGAGCCCTATGGCCAGTGTGAAAGGGACAGGGGCACCTGCATTTCAGTATCTTCTAAACAGCTTTTCATTTGGATGGTCGTGGCTTAATGACAAATGCCAGTTCAGGCAGGGAACAAAGGGTGACATCTCGGGCAGAGGTGGCAAGAGATGGAGCCAGAATAACCATTAAACTGAGCTCACTGTTAGCTCCTACCCCCTGCAGTGAGAGTTTTGCAAACCTGGAAGCTCCAAAATGTCAGCTCCTGAACCATGTATAAAGTGTGGCATTCAGGAGTGCTTTAGCAAGAGTTTCCTTCTGGATTAGTGGCCTCATACCCATTTTGTAATAGAAACAGTAGGAGAGTGGTCATCTTCTCTTTTGCTTACAGACAGGGCCTTCCTAACATTAGCACTGCTTGCCATGACATTTCAAGGAATATGTGAGCCATTGGGGATTCCCAGGTGAGCATCAAGAGCAGGCAAAGGTTAAAAACCAACATCTCCAGGGAGATACCAAATAAAGCAGTTCTGTAGAGGAAGTGTCACTAGGGGAGGGTGTGAGTAGTATTCCAAGTGTCTAAAAGCTTTTCTGCCTAGAGCAAGGCAATAAATCGGTCTCCAGATCCAGGAGATCATATTGCCACAAAGAATTAAATCACACTTTTTTTTTACTGAAAGTAAAATAAAAATCTAAATAGCTTGCCTAGGAGGGCATCCTTAAAAAGAAACTGGGCAGACTGTCAGCAGTGGTTATGGGGTAGCTGATCCTGCATGAAAATAGGACAGATACTTCTCCAGCCCCTTCCCAGAACAAAGTAAAAAGGTGCCTTGCAGGGATTTGGGGATCTGGCTCATCCCCTCACCGTGGTATATTAAGGAGTATGAAGCAGACTGCAGAGTCAGTGGTGTGAAACTGCTTCCCTGCACCCTGTGGATCTGTGAGCTCTAAACATTGCCTGCAGGAGCACAGGGGGTGCTTCTGGTGGAGGCTGGAGTGGTGGGGCAGGGAGGCCGTGGTTCCTTTGCCCTGCAGAGCTGGGGCTGGCACAGCCTTTGCCCCAGAGGAAGGGGAGGGGATGAGCACAGGCGTTAGTAGGGCAAGGGCTGTGTTGGCTCCTGCCTCCAGCCAAGGCAAGGAGGAGGTTGCTGTGCCCTCTGCACTTTCAGCCAGGCCAGCAGGGCTGGAAAAAGTCTCAGTGCCAAGAGAACAAACTTTCAAGCAGGCTGGTGCCCTTTGTCCCTCTGTCTCAAGGGCAGTGGCTGACCCCAGCACCAGCTGGAGGCAGCCCAGCACATTCATGTGCCTCTGCACCCAGCCAGCAAGGCAGGCACAGCCCCGGGCTGCGAGCAAACTCTGGGCTCTTTGGGAAGCAAAGGAGGATTTTTCTTCCCATCTGTGGCTTTCCCATGCCCCAGAGAAGCCTCCCACCCCGATGCAGGAGTAGTGCAGCCACAAACAGGGAGCCATGGAGCTGTGTTGGGTGCTCACCTCCATGTGCTGAATGGGAATGCTGGGCAGCTGTGGGCATTGTGCGCCACATGCCAAGGGGCTCCCTGCCTCACCAGCTGATCCAGGACACACAGCAGCCCTGGACCACTCATCTGCACTGATCTCCCTGGTTATTGCCTTGTCCTCTGGCATTTGTCCTCTTTCCACCACACTGTCCTGGTCTCATCAGTGTGGCTCATCTGTAGTCAATAACCAAAACTTGGCATAGCCCCACACAGGTGGTGTTGTCTTCTTTTCAATCAGTACCACAAATGGATTTGTTAATGATGGTGTGAGTCCTGAGTGTGCCTCCTGTGCACTGAGGCCATGGAAGAGCAGCATTTTAGTGAGGGCACTGCTGGCTGGTCAAGGAGGGCAGTTGTTCCTCTACAAAGCATTTGTGAATCCACATGTGGGGAACCACGTCTTGCTTTGGTTCCACCATCACAGGAGACATCTTGAATAGTCTGTCAGAAGATCACTGAGAGGGTAGGGCATTCAGGGGCACGGAACACAGGCTGCACCATCACCAAGTGGGGCACAAACTCTGCTCAGAGGTGCACAAAGCAAGAATAGGAGATGTCAGGTACAATGAAGAAAATTCCAGCTGGACATTAGGAAAAAATAGTTTAACCATTAGTATGGTTAGCACAGGAACTGGGCCCCAGAGAGCGGGGAATGCTCTCACTGTAAGTTTTTAAGACTGGATATGACCTAGACCAACCTGATCTGGCTTTGAGGGTAGCCCTGCTTTGAGCAGAAATTGAATGAGGTGTTCTTCAGAGATCATTTCCAAACTGATCTTTTTCTCCATCTACCCCAAATGCCTAAAGCTTTCCTAATATAGTGTCTGCCCTGACCCTCAGCTAAAGCCTCCTCACCAAAAGTTTCATTAATCATCTTAGAAATTGCAGACCTGGCCAAAGCAGATTGTTTCAAGCAGAATATGTCCCCCACATCTGCCTTCTCCTTGTGCTCAGTGAGCTCTCTTTCTCTCTTTCTCTGAGGAGAAGCCATGTTCCTGGTCTGTGTTAGGTTTCCCATAGCAGGGCTTACAGAAATACAGGAAGGTTGTAATCTTTTAGGAAACCCTGACTCTTCACCTTCTCCCTGTCTGCTCATGGATCTGTTGCTTTCGAGGTGGTGAGGTCCCAGGGCAGCTTCTTCTCTTCTGTGGAAGGAGTGGTGTTAAACCCTGGAACGTTTCAGACGTGCTGCGGCTTCTGGACTCTGCAAGGAAGGCAGCAAAGGGGATTTTCTGCCGTCATCTGTTCCCAATTACGGTGGTTTCAGGGAGCTCCTTGGCCCGTTTCCACCACAGTCCCTCAGCTCCCGAGCCCACGCAAGTGGAGGTGGGGCCTCGTGGTGGTGGTAGTGGCCAGAGCACGGTGCATCACCCTCACAAGACCAGGGTGAAGGGACAGTGCAGACACCACTCTCTGCTCCTGCTCTGCTGGGGACAGGCTGGCCCTTGGTGAGTAGTCTGTGCCCACTGGGTGCTCCAGGACAGCTTCAGTGGGAGCAGGGAGTGAGAGCAGGGATCACCCATTCTCTCTAGATTTCTAGAATTTCATCTGCTGCTAAGAAAAAGGTTCTGTGCTGGGGTTGTAGCTGTGTTTTCACCAGGATGAGCGTTGGCATTATGAGCAGCAGATATGTGCAAGGGGGATGCTGACCTCAGCTGGACATCTCACCATATCCCTGCCCCCCACTCTTCTGTCTGCTCCTGTCCTGCCTTCTTACCCTTTCTCAGCCAGAGTCTGTTCTCATGCACATCTGTTAGCATCCTGGTTGCTCTGAGTTTGCTTTGCCAGCATACTTTATCCTGCCTTTACCATAACTTCTCTAAACCAAATGCCTCTCAGCTAATTTTTTTGGATCTTTGGGTGTTAAGGGACACGAGCAGGGCAGGGCTGCATGGAGGTTTTGGTTTTACAGTTTAACTGGTAAAAAAGTCAAGTGTTGGGCAATGCCACATCCATTGCACCCACAGTAGGTGTGTGTCAGCCCAGCTGCTGTGCTTGGGGGTGCAGGAGTGAGGGGGGAGCTCAAGCCCAGCCCTGCTTTCAGGCAGAGTCTGCCGTTCCCAACTTTGCTTTGCAGGTGGATGTGCCACAATGACTGTGAAGAAGACTCAGGCTCTTCAGGATGGAAGTGCCAAGGTGGGTAAAGGGAGAGAAAAAAGGGCAGAGATGTGCCAAGGGGGCCAGGTAGTGTGTATTGACAGTGCTGGATGAATACCAGCCACACCTCATGCTGTCTCACATGTCCCATTTTCTCTTTATATGGATCTTTACCTGCAGTAGTATGGAGTATCATCAAAGGGAAAGGACAAACCTTTTTGTTTGCTTGAAATTAACCACTTCAGATTCAAAAAAGTTAACCTTGAGCTGATACTAGCACTAAGTGATAGCTGCCAACCATACCTGTCCTTCGTCTGTGCCCCATTTAGTCCCCAGACCTCCAGCACGGAGGTTTCCACAGGGTGGAAAGCCAGAGGGAGCATCTGAACAGTTGGGCTTGGG